AATACAGTGTAGTAATGCAGATTGTGACCAAAAACCAAAGATTGAAGAGCAAAATAATGCGCAATTCATGTTTTAAGTGTCTTCTAAAAACTCGACAAAATTGACGCACTTGGCAAAGCTAGTGCGTTAATATCTTTATCTATTTAAAAAAAGTACAGTACCACAAGTACCAAAAATAATATAATTTATTCTCAGAAGTGGCTTGTATAATTTAATATTTAATTTCAAACATGGTGGTGTTACTCCATTGTAAGTCGCAGTCAAAGGAGATTGGAGGATGTGGCCAATGTTCTCATCGGTTTCTACATAGTTTGTGGCTTCCCTCTAAGCTTTGCTTTGACGGGACTCCAATATGTGTGTTGTATGTAAATAGCATTACTTTACATTTAGTGCTGTTTAAAACCTATGAAAAAAATACAGACTGTCCCAAAAGTCCCGGACCGGCTTAATAACTCCTAACCAAAAGTAGCTACAGTAATAATATTTCAGACATTACTCCTGGCTACAAAAAACTATATTTGGATGTGTTAGTTAATATTGCCTCTGTCCCCAAAAACTAAATTTGGAGGGGTTGCCCCAAACTTTTAAATGTAAACCCCTATCGAGTGACCCTGATGTAAACATAACAGCGCAAATCCAAGGTGGATATCTTGCTCCTGTTAAAAATGGCTGACGTTTTGTATTTCTTATGGTCATGTAATTTAAAATTGACCACCATTAATTGTGTTAAACTTTTTAATATTTTATTACTTATTTGATGGTTTATATATTTAGTTGCCAGTAGCTCTTTATGGTATACACCATCACTTAAAAATTTATCTTTTAAAAACTTATAACAATATAATTTAATTGTTGTTATTTTACTACTATGTCACTTTTTATGCAAAATGTTATAATACAAGTTCATCATAGACTAATGAGTAAAAACAAACAAATGCATGCAATACACATAGTAACTTAATGAAAAGAAAACAAATGTAATTTTCAACCATTTTCCTTGAACATTACAAACACCAGCCAATAAAACACACTAAATATTTAAATTCCTAGTGTAACTGAATCAAACACGCCGCTTTTGAAGAGAGATATATTACTTTTTCCTTCGTTGAAATCGGATAAAGCTTTTTGATTGCGCGCGTTCTTTCTTTCATTTTTGTAATACTCGACATGTGTATTTATGTTTGCTCGCTTCTGTTTCAATATTTCCTTTTGGATAAACATTCATTTTTTTAATTGTTTATTTGGATCAGAACGGCACATTTAGCAACTACATGCAATATGTTCTAATGCACAAAACGAAGATCAAAACAACCAGTAAACTCCAATACTGAATACTGTAAAATTGTGGTCTTCTTTATCAACTGTCAAATCAATTGGTTATTTAACATTTAGTTTTAACAACCTAACTCATATTTATACCCCCGCCGCATCAAACCTGCAGACAAGCGAGTTTCCATTTACCTGGCTGGAATTTTCCCTTGAAATTTTCAGATTTATTTAATTTTTATACAACATCAAATTTTAATGAGTAGTCCTACTTAGGTTCGCTGCTACAGGAAAGTAAAGTGTGATTTTTATTGGCACTTTGGTAGACTAGTATGAAATAAATAAACTTACCAAATAAGTTAGATGTATATGAATAAACATGTAATCCGCAACAGTTTATCTATTCCCAAATTAAAGAATAACGTAGGAATTTTTGTTAATTCTCTATGACAGTTAGACATACAACAAAACAGCCATTTGCACACGTTGTGCGATACAGGTTATTAAATCCTCTTAAGCTGCTTTGTCACTGCACTACACTAAGTCCCCACATTTACACAATTTGGAAAACATAAGACGAAATTAAGATACAAATTCTTGTTGCGACTAGTGCAATTTAGAATTGTCTCATATTATCTAAGTTCTTGACTCATAATTTTTGCACAACTAGTATTCCTTGATCAGCTGATGGAGATAAATCTTCTACTTTAAGCATGTTCCTCTTCAGAGGGTCCTTGAGTATCTTATTAAAATTGTGGATATTTATAGGCATGATCTGTCGATGCGATTCTCCCTGGTGTGGATTAACGTCCACTCCTGTACTAAGACTACAAGATTGTGCCACTAATCCTACACTCATCTCCTTTCATACTTGGCTTAAAATACCTAACTTCGTATGGCCACCATCTAAAACTTTATGATAGATTATTCTGTTTAAATGATTAGGAAACTGATTTGTCCTGCCGTATAGCAGTTAGTTCCAATTAAAAATATTACAGTGTCTTGAAGCCCAACAGTTTAAAGGTGTCAAACAGTGTGTCTAGTGTTTATACTTTATGTGAAAACATCAATAAGAGTATGCTTGTAGTTCGTAACTTCTGACTAAATATATCTCAAGAATATTATGGATTATGAATTTAATTATACTTTTTAAATTATTGACCGCCTTTTGGCGCGCATTTTTCCCACATCTCCTTAAAACACTACTTGTCATTTCTCAGTATTTCTTTGTTTTGTTAAACAAACAGCTAAATAGTAAACATTCTGTAAAATGCATAAAACGCAAACAATATATGTATTTGGTATTTTTTTTTTTATTTTTTAGATACAAAAATTAATTAAGATAAACGTACTAAAGAAGTGAATACACTCTTTCACGAAACAAAATTAATTTCGACTGAGGCAGAAGGCACTCACCTCTCGGTGTCGGTACTTAATGTGGTTGGTTGAGGGGGGGGGGGGGGGTGAAGAGGTTTAGGGGGGGGTCCAAAACGTGACGATGAAAACTGTCTTTTCACCTCAACTCTTGTCGTTTAGACCGCAGAAACAAATTGCTTTATACATTTTGCTCTATAAGTGACACCTGCGTTTGGTTCAACTACTTTTTAATGCTAGAATAGTTAGTTATTAATCTAGTCAGATATATTTAAACAAATTATCTTCCTTTCTTTCACTATGAGGTTATCTGCTGTCAAAAAAGGTTAATTTAGGCAGTAAAATAATTGTCGTAACAACATTTTTTATCATGAAGTCATACTGTCAAACCCTTAACACATTATAATAATTCCTGTGTATAGTGTCAAAACATTATAACTAACAAGTTTCCCACTCAGTCATGTAACACGATTCTCATAAACTGATAATCAACCAAAATTTAATTTTGGAATCATACAAAATTCAATGTAATTTCAATTTAAAATTGTTACAAGCTATGACTTTTGCTTACGAGGTAAGTAAAAATTCAAATGATTTCAATGGTTAAACATGTATTTCGTTTTTTTTTATCCCCACAAACAGAAACTATCAAATCCGTATTTTGTAGTACATTCTTATTTAGTATGCAGTTTTATAGGAAATTCAATTTGGTACCATTTAGTCTGGGTAAACATATTAAGCTAAGCTGTAAAAAACTTTCTTAGTTTAACTGTGACTTGGAAAGTAAAACAAGACATTTACCAGTTTAAAATCTAGTGCATTCTATTTGTTAATTATTTAACTTACACTGATACTTTAATCAACTTATTTTCATCCCTTGCCTGCACCCTTATAACTACATGCAAGTTTTAAAATTGTTATTCTTACAAATGATTTGTTGTACGCACGGATACTAATATGTGCATTAGCTGTGGAAGTTCTGGTTGTGTAACCACATTTCGTCCTATAATCCATCTACTAAGCCACTAATTGTGGATATTTATAGGCATGCACTGTGGATGCGATACTCCCCGGTGTGGATTAACGTGAGTACTACGACTATCCGCAGTACTATCCTATTAATTAGACCAATTTGTAAATACCAAGGCAAAAATGTGGTCTAGATTCTAGTATAAACTGTAGGTCCCGTAGTTGCCATTAGCTGTATAGGCTATTAATTAACAGCTGTGTCTAAGGAATATGTCGGCCTTAGTCACTAACAAGACAAGATCGTGCCACTCCTACACTCATCTCCATTCATACTTGGCTTAAAATACCTACTTTGTATGGACGATATTTCATAGAAAACTATAAAGTATATTTATAAACCGGTAATCATCATATTAATTTAATAATTGCCGTAGCATTGCGAACACTCGAGATCAGTAAATAGCATCACTAATCGTCGCAATTCGACACTTGATGATGAATAGTAATTATTCGTACACTAAACTCATCATATACCACATAATAGTATTTGTAGGATTACACATTTACAAATTGATTTCCGAGGATTTAGCTTATCAATCACAATGTTTAAATATACCATTTTAATCTGTGATGTAGTCAACACGAAGTGAAATCAAAAAATGTATAACATTTTTGTAGTTTTTAATACATTTTACTTTATATTATGATTAAAATAGATTAATTGCGTTAAATACACTTTTTCTGACATTCTTAGGCAATCTAGATGCAATTCTTAATGCATTATCTAGAAGCTAATTATTTAAAAAAAGATGAGGCCATTTTACAAACAAAATTAACAAATATTTACCAAAATTAAGAATAGCACTTCTTGAAGAAAATAGTACTCCATCATACATACAAAAAATATTCGCTGATATATACCTGTTTTAGAATCATTATGAATTTTATTGTACGTTTCGTTAAATATATTTAATATTTTTAATGCACTTAAATACACCTAAAATCCACTATTACCACCAAAAATCTCATCATTAATACTTGTCACAGGTTTCATCCAACAAAACGATGCCACGCCTTGGATGAATCCAATCATTGTAAACAAAAGGTCACATTAGATTGCGCGGGTGGAATCACGCAATTGTCTCTGGTAAGTAGAATTGCTTCAATTTTCTTTTAGAAGAAATAACCCTTAGTATGTGGATATAAATATAAAATTTGTTTACAAACATGATTTTGTATTGGAGCTTTTTAGCGTATGCACATATTGAAGGGTAATAGCAAGAAAAACATGTATAATTCCCCCACATAATTTTGTGAAAAGAATCTTGATATTTAAATATGTAACGTAAATACTACGTAAGCAATTTACTTCAAATATTTATCATAGTTACCCTTAACCATACACCATACTCCATTCGTTTTCAGATATGGATGTTTATGACCTCTTCATAAATATGTTTATGTTCGGTTTGCATTTGATGTTCAAATGTATGTTAACACCATTTATATGTCTCACCTGTTGAAAAACGAAACCAAATATTTAAACACTCCCACACAAGCACTCGTACGACAACACTACTCTTGAAACACGTCCGACCTCGACGGTAGCGCGCGTCAGACTGGCGCGACCGAGACAGGGTGGCGCCTCCCACTCCCCCCACCACTTTACCCCCTCCACCTCCCACAGTCACACCTGGACCAATTACCCAACTCCTGCGGCAATCTACATTAACTCCAACTTTGATCTTCTGAAATTGATCACTTGATTGACAGAACCCACGTTCTGAGAAACAGTTGGAGACAACTTCTGTTTAAGTGGGAAAATTATTAACACCTCTCAATACGAGAAAGTATATTTCACCACTAGGGTGTAAAGTGACCCTCTTTAACCTGAGGTAAATTTTTACGAGTTATTGTTTGTTGAACACTTTTTGTCCGTGTGGTGAACTACAATTTTCGTTATATTGCACTTTTATTTAATCAAACTAATTGACTTAACCAAAATGCATCACGAAGAGAGCCTTTTAAAACTACTTCCAACTTGTTTTTAATTTTACTAATGCAAACAAGCAGCTGTTTAGTAAGTGATTCATTTATTTCTTCCATAAAGATTGTAGTAGTATACATAATTATATAGATATGTTTAACTATTGACAAGAAGGTAATACTGTAATACTGTATTGGCAAAGCCACAAACTTTGAATACAATAAAATGCGATTCGATTCATGCGATTTCATACATTTGTATTTAAAAATGAGTAACAATGGCAAAAGCTGACTTTTACTCCCTAGGGACTGATAACGTGTTTCACTCCCTAAGAACTACTTTAGGAAAAAGCTACTTTAGACAACTCATGTATTTAAACTGCTTATTTTGGCTGCAGTATGACGAGAAATGTGTTCATTTAGTTTCATGTGATAAAAAAGGGGATAAAACAGATTAATTGAACAAAGACATTTCTAGATAATATTAAGTTACCCAATACAGTATTTTTTTAAGGTCATAACTTTTTTTAGTTGTATAATATTCTTTTTTATATCAATGAACCCACACTTTCGTTCGTTATTTGTATTATTAAGAAAAGTATTATTTGATGTTTAAAATTTTCTTAGAAAATAAAATACCGTGATGGTTAGACTGTAAGTATATGTTTAACTTTCTAACCTTAAAAAAAATAATGTAAGCATATTATGTGTTTAATTACGGCTAAAATACTAATTACAAATTAGGTTAAAATCACCATATCAAAAAAAGCCTATGTAAAAACAACTTAAACAAATGTTTAGAATTGGTGTATACATTGCTCCCCTATAATTATAAATCAACTTGTACTCGGTAAGTCCCTCTCTGAAATTAAAAATGTATTATTTTATTTATACTTTTACTTTTACATTGAAATGGCGACAATACAAAGTAGGTATTTTAAGCCAAGTATGAATGGAGATGAGTGGTTCGATCTTGTAGTCTTGTCTTGTAGTTGTGTGTTGTGACTAAGGCCGACATATTCCTTAGACACAGCTGTTAATTATAGCCCGTACAGCTAATGGCAACTAAGGAACCTACATTTGTAAAATACTTAAACAACACATAGGCAAAGAAGAATTGGTCTAATTATCAGGATAGTACTGCGAGTAGTTGTAGTACTCACTAGTGCGGACGTTAATACATACCAGGAAGCATCCACAGTGCATGCCTATAAATATCATCAATTCGTAAACTCCTAGTAGCTGGATTACAGGACGCCACCCATCCCAATTAATTAATGCTAGATATAGTCTGAAATTATTATTATAAATTCTTGTTTTCAAACAAGTGTCACAATATATTGTCAACAACTAAACTTTTTTGTCTAAGTTGTCTTGTAGAGTTTAAAATGTGATATAATATCATCTAACATATCTTACTTCTAATTACTTTAATTTAGTAGAATGATGTCAAAAACTTGACAGTCTACGATTGTATACATATTTTTGTGTCATCAGCTGGGAATGAAAATAAATCATCTAAAAACGTGGGAGAGTAATAATAACCTAAACGGCTTTAGAGTTATTGAAGCGCGAAACGAAACCATTTCATCCTACACGTTTGTTTTTTTCTAAAACTGTTCGTCAGCAATTGAATATATTTCTGTCTATCTCAACCACTGCTATTTTAGACAAATGCGCTTTGTCTTAAACCTTAGCAGTTTTGACAATTCAATAACGATTTTGATAAAATTATTAAAGAGAGTTTTAGTTAAATCATTTCTGTACTATATCTTCATAACTCTAAAACAATAGGACAAAAAGTTTTCGTTCTCTTAAGAACAAAATGCAATAACATCCCTTGGTTATAAGAATAGTATAAGATCCAAAAATGTGCTCATGTACAAGTATGGAATGGTGTGCGATATAAACATTTGCCCATTTCCATCTACTTAAATTTATTTACAATAAATAAAATACAATTTTGTATATCATAATTCCATTCATAGACCGAATTAATTAATAACTAATATATTTCAATTTTTATTATTATTTAACTGTAATTTATTTTACAATAACTACATCTATATCAGAAACCGCAAGAACTAGAACGAGTGCAAGAAAGCAAAAGCATCTTCAGTGCTTTGTCACTGTTGCTAATTAGTGGCACAATGGCTTTAATTAATAAAGAACTCTTGTGTAGTTTTTCATTAAGAATGAAGCACATTTTACACTGTTGGGAAACATAATTTTGTATTAAAATAACTCATTTTTAATAAACATATTACAGCATAATATGTAGTACCGGTACTGAATACTATGTAATGTGTATACATTAGGCCTAGATATGTATGTAATATAAATTTAATCCATACTATATCTGTAATTGAAAACAACCCCACTGCAGCAATCTTGCATGTGAATTTCAATATGTTTGATTTTATTTCAATAACAAAATAATTGTTGTAAACTGTTATGTTTATTTCCCTTTAAAATTACATTATGATTGACAAGAACTCTTGGTTTTTTTTTGTTCCAGGGAATAAATGTTTATTATCTAATTTAATACATGTAATATAGGTATTATATGTAATAAATGTATTTTGATAAATTTTAATAGTAAATAATAAAATAAAAAAGTTTGCCAAATTTTATCAAAACACATTCATAAAGAAGGGAGGTATAACAGGTTTTTTTTCTCCGTAAGAATAACACGCACATTTTAAATGTGCGGTTTTTATCTTTTCTTTATTTTACAATCTTAAATCACGCTTCAATTAACAAAATAGTTTTTTAAGCCCTACATGAAGGGTCTACTATATGAAATTGACCTTTGAAAGAGTCTGTCTTCAAACAATAAGGAAAATTAAAATGTTATGACCTTATGAATGTTTACTCTACCTCAATAACAAAAAAATAAATAAAACAGTTTGAACGTAGTCACTGCACTAAGTGTGTTATTTTGGTCGATCCGCAATATTACTAAAAGCTTATAGGCTTTAATGATTTTACCATTATTAATTTCCACTCTATTACCTCAATGTAAAAGCTATTGGAAACCCCCATAGCAACAAGTCATTACAAATAAGTTGTAGTTATTGTACACACGTAACTCCAGAAACTTCCAGGAAAAACGTTGGATATTTAAATTAATAATTATGTTTTTCTTAAAAATAGGGACGGTACTTAATTGTCTTTCTGGAGCTTCTACGATAAGTAAACGTGGCTGTTCGCGAATATTTCAGGTGTTTTGCATTGTGTGCCCTTTGTATGTAGCATTTTGTAGCTTTTGGAGTACCAAAAAAGCAGAGCTTGATCCATCATCAGACAACCTAATGTACTTCAGACTTGTTACTGCTTATGTTGGCTTTGAGATCTTGACTAGCGCAATCTACAACTTAAAATTCCACCACTTATGTAATGCCGTAATGGATTCGTTAAAGAAATATCTTAATTTTATAAGAACAGCCCTAAAACAACACAGGGAAATGAATAAATTTACCATCATCAAGCTCTTTGAACCTCTATTGATATTTCTTGCGATTTTATTAGATTCATACGGTTCTATGAAGGACAAGGAAGATGTAAGGTTTGGTGTGCAGCCAATGATACTTTCAAAAATAATAACATTTATTAAAGAATTTATATTCCTATCAGCAGCATGGGCATTTTGGCATTTCTACTTGATCTTTAGAATTACTGAACTGGAAATGCTAAATTGCGTCAGACAGTATTTGATTTCAAAACAAACTGTTGTCGGGAAAGTTTGTTCGCCTGAACATTTCATCTCAGGCAAAAGTAGAGACCTTAAAGAAAGCAAAACTTTGGTTGTGGAAATAGAATCTGATTCAGCTAAGATAAGCACAATAAATGAAACAAAAACAAACATACTCCCAATAATGTTACAGTTAAATGACCTTCAAGTCAGGTTTCAGTCATGGTCTTACTATTTATTCGTTGTTAAAACATTTGGAAGTTTCATTTGCTGTCCTTTTGTGCTTATTGATCCTTTTAGCATTCTCTCCAACCAGGATTTAAAGGTATTCTTAATGAGGAATATTAAATACTTATCTTTGGTTGTGCATCTGATAGTAATAATTCAGAGCTTTGCACTCAGTGGATTGGTCGGTTACAAAAGGAGACGTCTCTTTATCCTGCAAGTCCAACGGTCACTCTCACTCTCAAATTTCGCCTCAAAAGTGTCCACCAAACTGTCTAGCCTCACCGACGACGCCTACTTGGACACTCCACATGTGCTGTTTGATATTGGTTGTTCTCTGATCAACTTGATGGTGGACACAATAGTATTGATTACAACTTCATTCAATCTTAAGTAAATCTATGCAATTTCAGGCAACAGTTAAAAGCAAACTTAAATGATAAGACATTGTTCTAATGACTGGAATAGGAAGACATCATGATACTCTTATCACAATTATGGAACCTAAGCATTAGAAGAAATTACATACATATGAGTTATTTGCGCATAAAATTTTCCATATTGACCATAAGGTCTGAGGACGGATTTATAACCTTAAAACAAAAAGGGATATCAGAACTAAATTTGGCTTATCATTACTGGTAAAAGCAAGCTAATTATTTGTGTACATGATGATCGGA